CTCTATTTTGCTGTATCAAGTGGCACAGTCTCCCACACCCATTTTCTTTGATGATGCATGGATGTGTAACATCTTGACATCTACTCCTGGTTTTACCATCATTTATCCACTTTGCCGAAATATTAACATATGACAGATCATGAACAACCTATCAGTCGTGAAGTTTTGGAGATACTCATTCCGAGTCTTCAGGCCATTACAATCTGATGTACAAAAGCTAATATAACTAGAAATTACTTTTAACCCTCTTGCTGTGCATCCCGCGATTTCCATGGGCAACACAGAAGTAGCAAAATTTGTGCAACCGGCGATTTCCGCGGGGATGAATTTTTGCCATCTATTTAACTGTGCAACCCGCTCTTCTCTAGTTCAAGATTTCCTTTCGCCTTTTCTGTGATGTTTAATTGTTTATTTAGATGTGAACTAACAGATGGTGTTAGTTGTCCACATTTCTGCCAAATATACTACAAGAATACGTAATGTAGCATTTTGCGCATGCTTTTCAGAATTCAAAGATGTCTGGTAGGAAGCATTTCGCGAGTGATATAACTTATATTCCTAATGATATTTCCGACACTGACAGTAGTTTTGACTCTGATTTCAAGTATATTGAAGATAGTTATAGCGACTCTGATGAGAATTTCTCGGATTCCTCTGCAGATAATGATGAATATGAATATTCAGTTTCTGTTGAAAATGTTGGACAGTGGTGCAACATATATATGCAAAATATTACATTATGCAATTATTTTCATTAGAATATATGTTTTACCTTTGTATTTTATAAAATAAATCATAATTTAACCAATATTAATTTTCAGAATTTTCCTTTTATATCATAATTCTTCAATTTCAGTATTCTGACAATCATCTTCTATGATCTAATTCTATATCGAAAAAAAAAAACTCTTTTACAAAAAATTTTTTGTATATTTTAACTCTAAAATATATGTAGATTTGAAATATGTAATAAAAAAATATGCAATTTTTGAACCTATTTTGATAAAAGAACGTACGCAGTGAGAGAGTTAAGACTATTTATGGTAAAGAAAAATCAGTAGATATGCAATATGTAACAGATTGCATTAAAAAAAATTAAATGACATTTGTGAAGGATATGAGGCTAAAAATAACTATGATGAAGATGAAACTGGATTATTTTATCAAAAGGTCTTACTGTGTCACTTTACTGTAACATGGAAAGAGAGTTTGAGCAGCCACTTGTAAGTGGAAAAACCCAAAAAACCAAGATGCAGCAAATACATCAATTCAAAATCTTTATCAGTCCACTGACATCACAATAAAAAATCATGGATGATGCAAAGCATAATGCTAGAATGGCTGATTGCTCTTGAATGCAAAGCATAATGCTAGAACAGCTGATTGCTCTTGGATGCAAAGCATAATGCTAGAAGGGCTGATTGCTCTTGATAAAACAATGTCTAAAAAAAATAGGAAGATTCTGCTATTTCTTGACAATTCCCATCTAATGGATTATTTTCAATATATTTTTGTAAGTACAAAACTCCCTTATTCATTTTCTATATTTTTACAGTAATTAAAAATTTTCATTTTAATTATTTTCAAATTCAAATAAATACCTGTGACTATGTTACATAAAGCTTGATACAACCTGAGAGTCTATTTAAATTACAAATTTTTAGCACATACCCTCTGAAAAAGGAACACACCTATTTAAGGAACAAAATGTCTGGTCCAGTGGGTGCCCTTATTGGGAAGTACTACTTCAGTTCTATAAGTAATCGCAGAAAAATCTATTGTTCTGTTAACTACCTATAATATTCATCAATTATGTGTAAATAATTATTATTTAAGATTTTATTAAAAAAAAGGGTTTAAGTTATTACATATATTCTAATTCATTAATTTACATTATCAATTATTTAGTAAATTTCAACATTACCACTATTTCTAGAATAAACATCTGATGTGTACACCATTAATCAGCATTTATAATCAGTGCAGCAGTACTGAAATACAAATTAATGCCAGTATATATGGTTACAGTTATATTCTTATGCAGAGACCAATGACTGATAATTACCTACATCCTGTTCATTACATTAAAAAAAAAAAAAAAAAACTGATGCTGATAAGAAATTTAGTAGGTATGAACTTTAGTAATGAGCTGTAATTCAAGATTTGAGAGTTAGAGTTTATCTTTCAGGTTTTAACCTAAAAGATACTTTAAACAAAGAGTTTATCTTTTAGGCAAACACTTCAAAATTATGACTGACTGCAATGCCTTCAAAATGACAGTGAATAGAATAAGAAAGACTTAAATACATAAATAGTACACTGGGCATTGACGTTAGAAGCTTCTGACTGCGAATGACACATCTCGACGCATTGAGTAGATACCCTGCAATGGTCATCACTCAAAATAGCCTCATTTTGATAATATGAAATGCTCAAGAGCAAGGAGATCACATTCAAGCTATCACAGAAGTCTTAAAAGTTAAACCTTATGATGACTATTTTTCTAAAGCCAATACACTTTCTAAATCTGTAGAATGTAACAAATTACTTATTCCAGAATCAATGTAAACTAATCAAGTTTTGTGGACATTTTGTTCCTAAAAAAACTGAAATCTCATCCGATATATATTTTATGTACCTAAACTTACAAATATATTATTCCTTACATATTAATCATAAATGTGGAAAACAAAGAAGGTATGTTGCATTCTATATCGAAGCTAAAGATACCACTTCATACACACCATATTAATCATTTAGGACCACTAAAAAGTACTCATACAAATTACAAGTATATGTATATCTTGTTCCTGACTCATTTGCAAAGTTTATATGGTTTTATCCAATAAAAGCTATTGATAGCACTGAAGTAAGATCTACATTGGAAAATTAAAATTTTGTCTTTGAAAATCCTTCAAGTATAATTTCCCATAAAGGCTCAGCATTTACTTCTAAAGATTTTCAAAATCATTGTTCAACCAGTATATTCAAATTACAGATTTGGGATATTGAAATTACTACTGAACTGCCTTGTGCTAACGGACAAATTGAGAGACTAAATTCTGTCATAATTTCAGTTCTCTACAAATTATCGATTCAACATCTGACAAAACTCTGACAACTCCCCTGAAACTCATGTATGGAATTAAAATGAAATTTGTTAATCATGACAAAGTTAAAGCTGTTAAATGCAGAATGTCCAGTTAGATTTCGTCAATGCTCATGATGATCTTCACAAGAAAGTTAAATAATAGATTTTGAAAAAGCAGGCAGAAAATCACAAAACCTACAATTTACAACATAACCATACCACAAGTTCAAATTTCATGATGTAGATATCATGGACCTGGTCTTTAACTGAAACCCAAGTTTCTCAGACAGTACAAGACCCTGAAAATCAAGCCAAATGACACTTATGATGCTGAAAAATGTGGTTTTTTCCCACAGACCTATGAAAAACAAGCACTTGTATTGAATTTATGAAACTCTGGACTAGTTCATCAGAATATGTTACCTGAACTTTAGTGTTTTATGGACATTTCCTCATATGAACTGATCAACACATTTGGACTTTAAACTTATGAAACTTTTCTTTGATAATGATTACTGACTTCTGATATATTATTCAAAGATATCAGTTTATTTTATTTATTTTTTTTTTCCTATTTTTCCAGGCACTGCTATTAGAAGATCCTGATCCCACACTATTTTCATTTATCTGTATTAATTTAGTATTTTCATTTATTGCTTAATAGTATTAGTATTTTAATTTTTAAGTATAATTTACACGTTAAATTTCACTGTTTGCTCTTGTCATCTGATGGCAGATATCAATGTAAGAGGGCCAAATTACATAGGAAATGGTCATGCAAATATGAGTGTAACTGAGTTAGATAATGCTAAAGCACCATCTTAATGAGTGCACAGATCAATGAAGATGCATGATGTAACAATTATTATTATTTTCTTTTTTTCTCTTATTTTCTTTTATTAATTTATGTAAATAAATCTTAGTTTAATAATAATTTGACAAATTTTGATGTTTTTCTTATTTATAAATGAAGCATACATTTCAACTTTACTACAATGTTTTATTGTCATTTAAATAAGCAGCACAGAAATTTTTATTTTGTTCAATATTAAGCCTTAACTTTGACATAGCAACAAAAAGGAAAATTCAAGAAGATTATAAATTTATCAGAAGAATGATAAAAAACTACAGGAAGATGACTTTACACATCATCAGATTATGAACAAATCTGCTCAACATTATTCATATAATGAAGTTATTAGCATTTAAATCCCTAACACATCTTGTACCTAACCTTTTTATCTTTTCTGGTATATAGTATGTTACTCAAATGGCAGTATCAATCTTAAAAATTAGTTTTATATTGAATCAAAATCTCTACCAAAGCTAATAATAAATTTTAGAGATTTTTAGAACATTTCAAGAAAACATTTTGAGTATAATTACTAGTTCGAGTTACATTAAATTATACTTGATTATTTTGAATTTGATAACCAAAACATTAAACCTCATGCATGTGAATCTAGGACTCTGATAGAAAATTTTAAGATTAAAGTTGATTAAAAGTAGTTTAAAAAGAAGAAAATAAAAGTCAAGAAGAGAAGGAAAATACTTACTCAATAGAAAAAAGAAAGGCAATATTTCCAGCATAGGCATAGAAGAGTAAAGAAAAGAAAGAAGAAAATAATTATTATACTGTTTCTAATGAATGTCTTCAATTAAAATACATCAACTAAAGAGTAATAATAATAAGCTCAAAGATAAAAAAGGTCTCACACATTGCCTGCATAGATATATTAATGTATTCAAACCTAAAAAAGTACTGACATAAAATAAGAAAATGAAACTGTAACAGTAGGTTTTACAGATAAGATAAAATAAAAAGATTTACAGATAAGATAAAATTTAATAATTCCTTAATAAAATTCTTGCATAAATATAAGAACTTTATTAAGGAATTCAGACTCACCTTATTGGCACTAAAAATGGAAAATAATCCACCTCTTTTCTTCATTTTTTGAGTAGAAATTGTACCTTTTAATGTGTCACTCTTTCCTTGTAATAAAGGAGGAGAACTGGCATTTTCATTTACGTTAGCAGGTAATAATTCTTCAAATGCTATATCACCAGGAGGCTGATAGCCTGATTTTAATTTTCCTATGACTATATTAGAATCCTATGCAAAAAAAGTTAAAATTCAATTTAAAAAATAAAAATTATTACTATAATAATTTTAATTAATACTATGAAAATAAATTTAAAATATGTATGCCTTTATTTCTATGCGTATTTCCTATAATCAAATAATGTTGTGAATTTTGACTGAAATGAATATAATGCGCATAATATGAAAATAAGCATTAAATATGTTAATCCAAGTAGTAATTAATGAATTAATAATGCATTAACACACAAAGTTTTTAAAATGTATTGTTCCGGGCAGAAGCACAAGGATTGGATGTAGCAGGTGCCTCACCATCAATGGGATAAGACTGTCAATGCAAGCGGAAATTATAATGAAAAATAAAACTGGTTAAAACATTAGTATTTTATACAGTTTTATTTCTGTTATCTATTGACTATTCTATTTGTTTTTTAAAACTTTAAAATTAAAAATTTATTGATGTTTAAGTAATGCAGAAAATGACATAAAACAAATTTGAATATGTTAAGAAATACAACTTACTGCTTTTGGATCTATAGAATCAGCAGCTCTGTTTATTTCATCTAGACATTTATTAATAACAGGTAGTGCTTGTCTTTGAACATCTGTCATTTGTTTCATAAAAGTCTGAATAGATAAAATTCTTTTCTCATCCATATTTTGAAGGTCCTTTAAAAGAGATTAATTATAAATACTAGTAAGGTATCATAATATGACAAATGTTATGCAAAAGAAGCTTATGTGTGTGTATATACATATCAAAAACTTAAATTAATAATTTAGTAGAAGTAGAAGAAATCTGTGGAAGATGGTAAAATTTGTATAATGAAACCTATTACATTTTAAAATTATGAATCAAAATTAAAGATGATCCCCTTACTATTTTTGAATTTTTTTATAATTTAAAGTGGAATACAAGTCATATTAAAATTTTATAACATATTATTGATTATTCATATTTTTATGTTCCAGACCGTCTTCTCAAGGGGTAATAATTTAAAACAACAAAACTTGAATAATCCAACAGAACTGTATCACATTCCGTTCTGCATGACTTTCTGAGCATTTAAAGATTAAAATAATACAGATGGTAATTAGCTAATTAGCTTTTAAAGATAAAAATACTGTAAATATTATTAACTTCTGATATATTATTTAAAGATATCAGTCTAGAATGATTTTAGAAATACAACCCACAATGACTAACCATGGCCAACTAATTTGTACCAAAAGGTCTGCTTTAGATTGACCAGATAAGTATTCCAAAGGCAACTGTTAATGCCATAGTGATGTTTGGCACAATTTCCTCCTCAGAGAAATGGAGGCCATACACCGATGTGAAGCATAAACGGACTTAAGACTCGGCAATTATTGCATCTTATTGGTGAACTCCCTGACATGTGCACAGACATGGTTCTGTTCAATTTCTGCATATTGCTTTCAGACACCAACATTACCCCCAAAACAAACTCAGCAATTACTGCATCTTATTGGTGAACTTGCTGACATTTGCAGAGACATAGTTTCGTCCAATTTTTGCATAGTGCTTTCTTAGATTAGGTTCATTTCCTATGGAAAATCCTACAATGGCAATCAACATTAAGAAAGATGCCTTCCTATAGGACTTTTTAAATAAAACTGGCTCAGATTTATATATGTTATTATATGGAGCAAATTAAGAAAATCTTATGCAAATGAAAATTACTAATATTCTACTGTTTTATCCACTTGATCTTTAGTGATCTTAGTAAGTAAATAAACAGTTCGCTCGAACTACAGCTACTACTGAGATAAGTTGTTTGTTCTCGGCTTTTATAAGCTTTATAATTAATTTCTCGAATATACTGGAAACATCTATAAATATCTGGATTTTTGTGGATGGCAACAGCAATTACGAGATATTTATTTATTAGGTATTAAATGTACGTGCTGTTCTATTTTTAACCTTCCAACGCAGCTGTCTTTTCAAAAATCGTCTGCGTTGCTAAGGCAACATGAAGCAAATCTAATTACAATTCTAAATAAAAAAACTAAATAAATAAATAACTATGAAATCCGTAACAATATGAATTAAGTAATAATTAATAATAAAGCAAAGTGCATGCACCAATATATCGTACAAAACTATGATTGGAAAACTGAGAGCATGAGTTCGGCCCATTCGGCTATCGAGGGGATGCGTACAAGTTCTGAGTGCACGTGTCCCCCAAAAGCCGAAGGTAGCTGAACGCAAGCTACTCACACCACGCATTTGTAATTTAAGTAATGTGTGTGGTCAGCTCGCTGTGAGTAATCTAACAACACTGAGTAAATTATCGTTAATTACTTAGCAGTAAACATTTCATTTTTTTTCTTCGTCGATATAGTTATTTTTATTATTATATATTATGATTTGCCGATATATTGGTCGGGCCGCAAAAATATTTGTTGTGGGCCGCGAGTTTGACATCCCTGCTCTACAACATCTCAACCATAATTGCTAGTTAACTGGTTTTATCTTCTGCCAAAATTAATACCACACACTTACATATATATGTACATCATTTCCATTTATATATAAACATATATATATATATATATGGGAATGACTTTAAATAGATCATAGATTTATGAGGACTAAAGCAACAATTCATAAAAGTATATCACTCATAAATTGGAGTTCATAAAAATATGAATCTAGTAAACTGAATTATGAATTTCTATCCATAACGTGATCAAGCAACACATAAGGAATACAAGAAAGGATAAGAAAATATTTTTAGTTTAAAGATAAATTATTTTAAAATCTTTTTATACACTCTTCAACACTCTTTTTTTTTTTTTTTTTCCTAAGGATATAAGAAATTTTTGTTTCATACTTGAAAAACTTTAGGCATTAATTCAAAATAATGTCGCTTCTGAGCTTCATTTGTCTTTTGTAGCTGGTTTTTATAATCTGTTTTACAGTCTTCAGATTGCTCTAATTTTGTGACACTGTTTACTCTTGCCTATATAAAAAAGAAAGTTACTTCTGTTAAGAGTGTGGAATATTTCCCATATAGTTTTAAATACTAATTTTTTTTTCATTTATTCATGGAATTTTAATTTTCAAAAATTCTGACATTATGAAAAATACCTTTCCTAATTCCATCCTAGACAAGTGAAGATCATCAAGGGCTTTCTTATAATTTTCACTTGCTTTTTCTGACTCTTTGAAAGCTTTTTCATAACACCCTTTAGACTGTAAAAATATACAAATAATAATAATAATAATAATATCAGGAATTAAAAAAGTAAACTAATTTGAAATACTTTAATTTACTCAGACATATTTATCTGCATAAAAATTTCTGCCAGCTCATACACATTTATAGACTAACCCTATTATAAAAAGTATAGAAATTTCTTTTATCTCCCACAAGAAATAAAAAGAAACTAAAAAAAGAGGTACAAAAATATGCTGGAAACACACTCTTATATCTTAAAACAATCTTAAGAAATAAAACACATACATACATATTACAGAGTTCAATGCATGTTACAATATTGTTCTATGCAATAATAAAAAAAAAAAAAGTTAATTCATTTATAGAATGACACAGGTATGCAAGAAAAAGTTATGTTTCAAAGCTTCTTGTCATACGTAAGTCTCTCGTTCAAGTTTAAATGCATTATCATCCATTCTTTATGAGGTAGTAATGAAAGTATTTATAAAAATAAAGTCTAGAAAGCTTTCTTTTCTCTTTTAAAATGTATGGAATTATATGACTGGTATTAGTGACAAAATTTTAAATGCTATAATGTCTCTATTCATTCTATTAACTGGAGCAGATCATTCCATGGACTAAAACTTTTAATTTGATCTTCAAGATTTACTCTACGGGAAATGACAAAAAGATAAGGAATTTGTGTCTAAAGTCCTCTCACAAGGAGGAATCTAAACACGACCTGAGACAAGTTTAGCTATTAAGATGATATGCTCAGGAGCAATAACTTGTTCAATAATGTCTCCACGTGACATTAAAAAATTCAAAATTTCACAATTAATATCACAGGAATTTAGTGATATGCGCTGACTTTAGTGTGTCTGTCATCAAAGTCTATTGATTTCAGCTAACTAATGGATCAATGATTCTGTGGCTTCTCTGACATGGTCTTCAACTATGATGAATCAGAGGATGCAAAATACAAGAGGAAAACTCTAGGTATGTTATTAATTCCCTCTAAAAAATATACCAAACACAGCAAGTACAACAGGCTGCTTTAAAACTCTCAACTAAAGAAACTTGTGGTTCCAAGAACTTTGCATAACAAAGGCAATAATTTACACTTACCTTTGAAAGCTATCTAAATAATTTTTTTATGTACTTAAACTATGATTATTAATTTGTTGTTGATATTGTTAGTAGTGCTGCTATGATATTATGTTTCATTTAGACGTACGTATAATGAATGTGTTTGAGTTCAGTGTTGCAGTTATACATGCAGCCCAAATAACATGCAATCAAATTATCAGTCACTCAAATCCCAAATAAAAGGATGCCTATGCTAAAGATGCTAATAATTAGCAACAAGAATCAACATAACAACATTTAGTGATTACTTCTGCAGCTGAAGAAGGAAGTTCTCTGTGATGTTCCGAAAAACACTTCCACAAATTTATGCATGTTATGCCAATTCTTGCTACTAATTATTAGTATACTAGCAGCTTCGCTGCCAGCCTTCGTCTGGCTTTTAAATGTACCGGAAAAATGGCTGAAGGGAACACCAAACCTTAAATTTAAAAACTGCATAGAATTTTAGTCTGCAGAACGACTTCATAAAAAAAGTTATTACGTATAACAAAATTACAATGAAATAAGCAATATCCCTTAATAGAAATATTGATTATCCTAATAAATAAATTAACCAACTTCCCTTTGTAAAATCGTAAGAACTAAAATGGTATAAAGGAGGTTAAGAACTTTGTTTCCTAAAAAAATCACTCAAAACCTTTCAACATCTTAAAAACAGTGAAATGAGCAATAAATAACATAAAAGAATGTAAAAAACAAAAAATTCTGAAAAGCAAAGTATAATTAATGATATTTTATCTTATACTTTTACAAAAAATTAAAAAATTACAATGAAATAAGCTATATCCCTTAATACAAATATTAATTATCCTAATAAAAATTAACCAACTTTCCATTGAAGAAAAAAAACATGCAAAACTTTTAATATCTACAAAACAGTGAAATAAGCAAAAAATACGTGAAAGCAACTCAAAAAACATAAATTCCGCACAGAATTTTACTCTGCACAACAATTTTAACAAATAAAATAAATAAATAATAAAAATAATATGAATTATATATGTAAATGACAATGAAATATGTCAGTCTCTTAAAAAGAGTTAACTAAGAAATACGATGAAAATTGTTGCCAAACCAATATTCTAAAAGAATGAAACTTTCAAAATGATGCGATTTCATCAAAATCTATCAACACAATAAGACGGGAAAATTGTTGCCAAAATCACATTTTTAACCCTTAATGTCAAGTTATTTTGATGATTTGGGTACACAAATTGTCAAATTTTTTATTGGAAAAACCAAATGTAGCTGAAATAAACATCTCCCGATATATATCGGGTATGACATACGATGCACTCAAAAAAAAATTACCCCTAGAAATATTCGGGCGTGACATTTTCGAACACCAGTGCTGTGCCCGAGATAATCTCGGGCATGACAGTTAAAAGGTTAAAGATGTGAGATGTGAGAAGTGTATTTGGAAACTTCATTTAAAAAATTTTTCAAAAATACAAAATATTATCATTTTTCCAAAATTCTTTTGTAAAAGCAGTCGCAAGGATAAAAGTTTAACGTGTCCAAAAATCAAAGAAAAATAAACTGTACATTTTTAAAAAATAAACGTTTTTAGAAAAAAATCCTGTTAAAAAGGTGTTAAGCTCCCTTTGTTAATTAAATTCATATTTAATCGATTTATTGAAAGACAAAATTTATTTTAAGTTCGTAAAATAGCTAAGTGCTTACGTTTCATGACGATGTGAAAATGGAGTGTGTAGAGTAAAATCTCACTTTCCTATAGCCCATTATGTCTCAAAATGACGCGATTTCGTCACAAAACATAAAATAAAAAGAATTCTAATTCGAATTTCAAAAAAATTGCTTCGAGGTGCACTGGCTCTTGTCTAGATGTACCTATATGCCAAATTTCGTAGCTGTGGGTCTATTAGCTTATGCGCAACGCGAACGAAAGGACACACACACACAGACAGACTCTTTATTTTATTATATGTAGAGATGCAATATTTATTCTTCAGCATTTTCTTTTAGCTATAAAAAAGCCTAATTAATCTAAAACTATATTAACTGAAATTAACTGACACAGCAATGGCAGAAAAGAATTACTTTGATTAACTGGATTACATCTGATGAACATAATTCAGTTAGTAAAAATATTTTTCATCTGATTATTATTTCATACTATATTGAGCTTAAATATCATCTTAAAAAATGTAAAACTGGCATTGCAAAAACAACACTAAAAATAAAAAAGCACTGAGTTAATATTAAATGAAAAAATACAATATAATGAATGTATGATTAAAGAACTGCTTGTATATATTTTTGAGTAATTAAATTTACACAGTCGATGATTGATTTGGTGAATGATTCCGATAAAAATTCTGGCCATTTGATGTATTTTTACTTATTTACTATTTATTTATTTTTTAAGAGAACAAATTTTTCCAATTTTGTATTTACAATCAGATCCAAAAAATTTTGCAGTTGCTCAACTCCTAACATAAAAACGATATACATTTAAAAAAGCTAGAAAATGAAATTTTTTGGAAAGGCAAATATAAATACATAAAAGAGAAGTACATACCTTTTCTAATTGATTTAAAGAAGCATGAATATTTGCTTGCAATTTTGCTCCTTCTTGTAGATGCTAAAAATTAAAAAAATTAGTAAATTTATACATGTTTCACAATATCTGTAGGAAAAATTAATAAGACTTACAATTATTAATAAATAAGATTAAATAATAAAAACTCACTGTTTTTCTTTCATCTCTAAGCTCTTTCACAAATGAATTAATTTCTTTCACAATGTTGAGGTTGAGATTCTCGGAAATTAATTCATGTTGCCCAGCCATGTCATTTATTTCATTCAGCATTGAAATGAAAGATTTACAAGTGGAAAACCTATCAGAAACAAAAGAAATTCATTGAAATATATAACAGAAAAGCACATTATCAGTAATAAACAAAAAATGAACTGATATTAACGTATAAAAACATATAAGCATCTAAATCAATGACAGCATATACATCATTTCTAATACTACATATCCCACAAAATTTACATATTAAAAATAAGAGAGCTTTTGCAGTCAAAAAATAATCAAAATAAAAAAGCTATATATTTGTATTTTATAAACACATTATGCATAAAAGATTATATCACTTGTGAATGTTTATAACTAAAACTGGCATTTACAGATCATATATGACCAAGACTGGATAAGAAATCTGTCCTATAGTTACAATTAATTACTTCAATTTGAGCAATGAATATATATAAAGCTAGCATATTAAACATAAAATTGGTATTTTTGGACAAATAATCAATATACAAATTCCTAAAAATGTAAGAAGACCAAAAATCATCTTCTGAAGAAAAGAAAAAGGAAGCATATAACAGAAGAGTACATCAAACCAATGCAAAACCTGAAGAAGTATTAGAAAACTGTTCAAATACAAACTAATATTAACTAACTAAATAAATAAAAAATAACATTCTTTTTTAATGGAACAATTATGATATTTTTTCACTATTCCTTTCCCCTGCATGCAGAAAAAGATTAAACCTCAATAAAAATGTTAAGAATATTGAATATTAGCAAAGGAACAATTATGATATTAGCAAAATAATAACTTTTTTAATGAAACTAAACAATTCAAATTAAATAAGTTTGATTACACATACTGTATACTGCACTAAAATACAATGCATACACTAATATATTAATGCCTTTATTTATACTATTTTACTAATGAGAAGCTTCTGAGAATTCAAACAATGGGGAAAAGGTACTTTTTAAGTTTTTAAATAATATATATTGGAATTTTGAGATACGAGCACCTCTAATATACGAAAAATTCTATACGAGAAGAGTATGAGCGAAATATTTGTCTCTAAGTACGAGCACTGACTTAAATAACGAGCAATGAGCCAGGCTGTTGGTATGTGTGGCACCATTTCCCGATCCGACTTGACTCGGAAAATCCCCTCATCAGATGATTCAGTGTTCTTTGATCTATGTGTTTGTGTGCTTGTGAGTTCATTGTTTTTTACATTTAACGTCAAAATAATTATTTCACGATACCTCCCAAGAAGACTGCCTGTGCTGCAAAGAAAAAGAAGGAAGCCATGGATGTTGAAATCAAGAAAGAAATCATAGATAAACATAAGCATAGTGTAAGAGTGACGGAATTGGTGAAGACTTACAGCTGTTCAATGTCTTTAGGACTACAGAAAACAGAATCACTGGTGAAGGGGTGAATGTGCCTTTGGACATGGACACCTTGAACCTAGTGGGGATAGATACTGACTCCTCTGTCAAAAGTGCTGTGCCAGATGCGCAAGCAGATGACCAGTCTCCAATGACGGAGGTTGTAAATAAAAGAAGAGAAAAGAGACAACACCATAAGGAGCGGAAATGGCTGGAGAGGGCCATGGAAGGGATCTCGATCACCGGGGAGAAGGGAGCGAGGGAGAAAACAGATCAAGCTGCGACCTGTAGAGTGACCTCCAAACCGGTGAGGGAGAGCCATCCAAGCAATGAAGAGCAATGTCACCAGCAATGCATTCTCTCTTAACGCATTTGCTGGTGACACTCCGGAAATGGCCCTCAGAAATGACAGCTTTATAGTCATGCTGTGAGAAAGGCAAGCACTCTGCGGGTCATGTGCAAGGATGACTCCAGAAACATAATATCGGCGGATTCGGACTTGATCACTTCTATGATTGATGACCGAATTATCGACGGTTCTATCACCACCTGTAGGGTCCACAAGACAGTCCTGCAGCCGAATGGCCTCAACATTGCATGTGAGGAGCAGGAGACTGTGGGCATCCTAAAAACTTTAATCAATGACCTACCTGGTCCTGAAGAAAATCATCCCGGTTATCACAACATGGCTCTCGGGGAAAGACCCTCCATGAAGAGGTTTTTTGCTCGATTTCCTGGTAACAGGTCACTAAAAGATAACATCAAGCTCCTTGACGCCTGTAACAAGAGCTTGGATGTTAAGAAGATCGCCATCAAGGCAGTCATCCCTGGAGAAGGAGGTAACACTCTGGTGCTGGGAGTGGAACCTAAGCTCATGGATTACTTGGAGGCCCAGAATTTCAAACTTTTTTGTATGCCCATCGCTCTGTACAGCTGATGGAACCAAGACAACATGAGAAATCAATTCTTCCACCCAAGGATCCTCCGAGGAAACAGTTGATAGAAGAAGGGGAGACCGAAAAGGAGTCGGAACCAGAATTTTCCCTGGAGGCTCTGGGGAAGACTTCTGAATAGGTTCCCCTGTCATGACTTCCTTTGAAGTTGTGGGTTCAAGATGTGGCTTTTAACTCTCTCCTAAAATCCTTCAGAGTAAGTTCTTATCTCTCATTTAACCTGTTTTAATGGTTAAGGTTAGTCAGCCAAACCTGCAACATAGCAGGGCAGCTTCATACAATTTAGTTGCTCAATTAGGTAAGCAAGGCACTTTTGTTGCCTTAATTCAAGAACCTTGGGTCTACAAGGGTAAAATCCTTGGTAGGCCCATGAACGCACACTTATGTTAATCAGAAGGACCTAATAAAAGACCTAGAACTAGCATTTACATTTCTAAAAACATAAAGGCTATGAAATTATCTCAATTTACATCAGAGGACTTGACTGCTATTTTAACCAAGGACATAAACAGTTCACTGAGAGGAAACATTTGTTTTTGCTCGGTTTACATGGCTTATGACTTCAACATTCTGCAACAATTTATAGATCTTGTGAGTTTCTGTGAAATAAATAATATTCCTATGGTTATTGCTGGTGATGTTAATGCTCACCACCTATCATGGGGCAATTCTGATAATAATCCCACAGGAGAAAAACTCATGGAACTTATAATGAATACCAACCTTGTAAGGATCCTAAGTTTTACTAACATTTATTTTATTTTAAATCTTTACTATCACTTCTTATTTTCTACTTCCGGCCAGAATTAAAAGCTTTAACTTATTTATGCAAATTGTCTTGCTAACGCCAAGTACTTAAGTTGTGGCTTTTTGCCAAGCAAGAGAGAGGAAGGAGTTATTAGGAAGCAGGCCGCTTGCCACTGTAGTTTTACGAGTTTTCACTCGGTTGCTGGTTGCCTTCAAGGCCAGAGGTTTAGCCCTCTTGATAATTTCAAACGTATCGTAGTTTTAGCAGCTCTCTGTACTACATACGTACCTTTTTTAAATAAAGGCCAATCTTAAGTGAGAGGCACTTGTATATTAATTCCAAAGTTAGTTTTTAGTTAGAGTTTTAGTTAGTAGTTTTTATATTCTTACGTTCAGACCACAAGTGGTTGGTCTCTGTATCCGAAAGTTCCGGGAAATCTCTGTAAAGATAGAAAATAAAGGGTTTCGTATACCCTTCCTGTGTGTATTGTCTACTTTCACACCTTTATTGAACATAGCTTGAGTAAGCTCCCTGTTCCGAGTCAGGACATTCATGTTTCCAAAGCAAGTCAAGAGGAATACAAGTCCTGATAGTGGCGCCCGAAGAAGAATAACCATGGCCGAGTTTCAAGAAGAACCTGTGGTGCCTGCAGAAGCGGCTCAGAATCCAGAAATGCCAGCTGCCGCCCTGGAAGGATTTGGTTACATCGTCCCAGACCATGCGCGCATCGATGAAACCAGCAAGCAACATTTAATGGAAACTCACCGGTAACCAGTTTTTTGGAAAAATTGGATGACCACTTCATGCTGTATCCAGTCCATGAGTTCCAGAAAGTCACCTTAGCTACCAGCGCTTTGAAGGGCCAAGCGCTTAATTGGTTCAAATGTATAGGCAGAAACCTCTTGGGTCAAGCGGGAAGCCCACCTATACTTACGAACATTTCAAGACTGCCTTAGTAAAAGCCTTCCCTGTCGTAAAAAATCGTTCAAAATTAGATGCGGAACTCTTCATCATATACCAGCAACGAACTGAAAATCTCTCAAGCTTTACTTTAAGAAATATTCACGTCTTTAGACTCTTGTATGGAAGCCGTCCGGATCCTGAGATAATCCAAGTGATTTTGCCTAGGTTAGGTTACTTCCCCAAGTACAAGACTTTATTGAATTAAGGAATCCGACTACACTGGAAAAGTTATTTGAGCTAGCAATCCAGTTTGAAAGTAGAAGAACGGCGGACATTGAAAGAAGACGCCAGTATGAGCAACGAAAGCCAATTTGGTGCGCCAAGACCACAGCAAAGGCAAAAAACACGGCTACGGAAGCAAGTCGAATCAGTGGTCAAGGAAAAATGAGTATCCAAAAACAACCGGCGAACATCGACAGTTCAATAGTAAGCCAGAAAAAAAGTCTGAAGGCCAGCGGAAAAAGAAGGAAGGCATGGAAAGGAAGAAAGAAGATTTAAACTAAAACAGATTTCTGCTGACGGGAGGGTGCGGAAATCCGAAGGCCAAGAAAACCAATCTTCCTTCAAGTTAAATACAGTTATACAGAAAGAAGGGAACCACCCACGTTAAGTCTCAACCACCTGCTTACGAGAGAGCAGCAAAAAAATCGCCAAGTGGTAAGTCAATTTGCTTCATTATTTAGTGATATTCCCGGATTTACTCAAGTAACGAACCATAATATCGACACAGGAGATTCACTGCCAGTTCGCCACAAGCCGTATCGGTACGATAAAAATAAAGAAAAAATTATAGAGTGGCACATTCGAGATATGTTACGTAAAAAGATCATAACGCCCATCTCAAGTAGTTATGCTAGCCCGGTTGTGTTATGTAAGAAAAATAACGATTATCCAGTAACACATCCGAAACGGTGGCGTTTTGCAATTGACTATCGTAAATTAAACTCCATGACTAAATATCCGGTATATCCGTTACCTATTATTGAAGAAATTTTAAGGAACATAACTTCTACGAAATACATGACT